CTTGCCATGTGTAATACCTCTGTCATGTGTAAAACCTCTATCTATGTGCAATACCTCTTGCCATGTGAAATACCTCTTGCCATGTGTAATACTTCTTGCCATGTGTAATACCTCTTACCATGTGAAATACCTCTGGCAATGTGTAATACCTCTTACCATGTGTAATACCTCTTACCATGTGAAATACTTCTTGCAACGTGTAATACCTCTTACCATGTGAAATACCTCTTACCATGTGTAATACCTCTTCAACGTGTAATACCTCTTGCCAAGTGTAATACCTCTTACCATCTGTAATACCTCTTACCATGTGAAATACCTCTTGCAATGTGCAATACCTCTTGCAATGTGTAATACCTCTTACCATGTGTAATACCTCTTACCATGTGTAATACCTCTTACCATGTGTAATACCTCTTACCATGTGAAATACCTCTTGCAACATGTAATACCTCTTGTCATGTGTAATACCTCTATCTATGTATAATACCTCTTGCCATGTCTAATACCTCTTGCCATGTGTAATACCTCTTGTCATGTGTAATACCTCTATGTGTAATACCTCTTGTCATGTGTAATACCTCTTGTCATGTGCAATACCTCTTGTCATGTGTAATACCTGTTGCAATGTGTAATACCTCTAACCATGTGTAATACCTCTTACCATGTGAAATACCTCTTGCAACGTGTAATACCTCTTACCATGTGTAATACCTCTTCAAGGTGTAATACCTCTTGCCATGTGTAATCCCTCTTACCATGTGAAATACCTCTTGCAACGTGTAATACCTCTTACCATGTGAAATACCTCTTACCATGTGTAATACCTCTTCAACGTGTAATACCTCTTGCCATGTGTAATACCTCTTACCATGTGTAATACCTCTTACCATGTGAAATACCTCTTCCAATGTGTAATACCTCTTGCAATGTGTAATACCTCTTGCCATGTGTAATACCTCTTACCATGTGAAATACCTCTTGCAATGTGTAATACCTCTTGCAATGTGTAATACCTCTTGCAATGTGTAATACCTCTTACCATGAGTAATACCTCTTACCATGTGTAATACCTCCTACCATGTGAAATACCTCTTACAACATGTAATACCTCTTGTCATGTGTAATACCTCTATCTATTTGTAATACCTCTTGCCATGTCTAATACCTCTTGCCATGTGTAATACCTCTGTCATGTGTAAAACCTCTATCTATGTGCAATACCTCTATCATGTGAAATACCTCTTGTAACGTGTAATACCTCTATCTATGCGTAATACCTCTCACCTTATGTAATACCTTTTGTCATCTGTAATCCCTCTTACCATGTGAAAAACCTCTTGCCATGTGTAATACCTCTTGCCATGTGAAATACCTCTTGCCATGTGTAATACCTCTTGCCATGTGTAATACCTCTTACCATGTGAAATACCTCTGGCAATGTGTAATACCTCTTACCATGTGTAATACCTCTTACCATGTGAAATACTTCTTGCAACGTGTAATACCTCTTACCATGTGAAATACCTCTTACCATGTGTAATACCTCTTCAACGTGTAATACCTCTTGCCATGTGTAATACCTCTTACCATCTGTAATACCTCTTACCATGTGAAATACCTCTTGCAATGTGTAATACCTCTTGCAATGTGTAATACCTCTTACCATGTGTAATACTTCTTACCATTTGAAATACCTCTTGCAACATGTAATACCTCTTGTCATGTGTAATACCTCTATCTATGTGTAATACCTCTTGCCATGTCTAATACCTCTTGCCATGTGTAATACCTCTGTCATGTGTAAAACCTCTATCTATGTGCAATACCTCTATCATGTGAAATACCTCTTGTAACGTGTAATACCTCTATCTATGCGTAATACCTCTCACCTTATGTAATACCTTTTGTCATCTGTAATCCCTCTTACCATGTGAAATACCTCTTGCAACGTGTAATACCTCTTACCATGTGAAATACCTCTTACCATGTGTAATACCTCTTCAACGTGTAATACCTCTTGCCATGTGTAATACCTCTTACCATGTGTAATACCTCTTACCATGTGAAATACCTCTTCCAATGTGTAATACCTCTTGCAATGTGTAATACCTCTTGCCATGTGTAATACCTCTTACCATGTGAAATACCTCTTGCAATGTGTAATACCTCTTGCAATGTGTAATACCTCTTGCAATGTGTAATACCTCTTACCATGAGTAATACCTCTTACCATGTGTAATACCTCCTACCATGTGAAATACCTCTTGCAACATGTAATACCTCTTGTCATGTGTAATACCTCTATCTATTTGTAATACCTCTTGCCATGTCTAATACCTCTTGCCATGTGTAATACCTCTGTCATGTGTAAAACCTCTATCTATGTGCAATACCTCTTGCCATGTGAAATACCTCTTGCCATGTGTAATACCTCTTGCAATGTGTAATACCTCTTACCATGTGAAATACCTCTGGCAATGTGTAATACCTCTTACCATGTGTAATACCTCTTACCATGTGAAATACTTCTTGCAACGTGTAATACCTCTTACCATGTGAAATACCTCTTACCATGTGTAATACCTCTTCAACGTGTAATACCTCTTGCCATGTGTAATACCTCTTACCATCTGTAATACCTCTTACCATGTGAAATACCTCTTGCAATGTGCAATACCTCTTGCAATGTGTAATACCTCTTACCATGTGTAATACCTCTTACCATGTGTAATACCTCTTACCATGTGTAATACCTCTTACCATGTGAAATACCTCTTGCAACATGTAATACCTCTTGTCATGTGTAATACCTCTATCTATGTGTAATACCTCTTGCCATGTCTAATACCTCTTGCCATGTGTAATACCTCTGTCATGTGTAAAACCTCTATCTATGTGCAATACCTCTATCATGTGAAATACCTCTTGTAACGTGTAATACCTCTATCTATGCGTAATACCTCTCACCTTATGTAATACCTTTTGTCATCTGTAATACCTCTATCTATGTGTAATACCTCTGTCATGTGTAAAACCTCTATCTATGTGCAATACCTCTTGCCATGTGTAATACCTCTTATCATGTGGAATACCTCTTGCAAGTGTAATACCTCTTACCATGTGTAATACCTCTTACCATGTTAAATACCTCTGTCATGTGTAATACCTCTTGCCATGTGTAATACCTCTTACCATGTGTAATACCTCTTACCATGTGTAATACCTCTTACCATGTGAAATACCTCTGTCATGTGTAAAACCTCTATCTATGTGCAATACCTCTTGCCATGTGTAATACCTCTTATCATGTGTAATACCTCTCAGCACATGTAATACCTCTTGCAACATGTCATACCTCTTGCCATGTGTAATACCTCTATCTATGTGTAATACCTCTTGTCATGTGTAATACCTCTATCTATGTGTAATACCTCTTGCCATGTGTAATACCTCTGTCATGTGTAATACCTCTTGTCATGTGTAATACCTCTATGTGTAATACCTCTTGTCATGTGTAATACCTCTATGTGTAATACCTCTTGTCATGTGTAATACCTCTATGTGTAATACCTCTTTTAATGTGTAATACCTCTTGTCATGTGTAATACGTCTTGTCATGTGCAATACCTCTTGTCATGTGTAATACCTCTATGTGTAATACCTCTTTTAATGTGTAATAGCTTTTGTCATGTGTAATACGTCTTGTCATGTGCAATACCTCTTGTCACATGTAATACCTCTTGCCATGTGTAATACCTCTTGCAACATGTAATACCTCTTACCATGTGAAATACCTCTTGCAATGTGTAATACCTCTTACCATGTGTAATACCTCTTACCATGTAAAATACCTCTTGCAACGTGTAATACCTCTTACCATGTGAAATACCTCTTACCATGTGTAATACCTCTGTCATGTGTAATACCTCTTGCCATGTGTAATACCTCTTGCCATGTGTAATACCTCTGTCATGTGAAATACCTCTTGCCATGTGTAATACCTCTTACCATGTGAAATACCTCTGGCAATGTGTAATACCTCTTACCATGTGTAATACCTCTTACCATGTGAAATACTTCTTTCAACGTGTAATACCTCTTACCATGTGAAATACCTCTTACCATGTGAAATACCTCTTACCATCTGTAATACCTCTTACCATGTGAAATACCTCTTGCAATGTGTAATACCTCTTGCAATGTGTAATACCTCTTACCATGTGTAATACCTCTTACCATGTGAAATACCTCTTGCAATGTGTAATACCTCTTACCATGTGTAATACCTCTTACCATGTGAAATACCTCTTGTCATGTGTAAAACCTCTATCTATGTGTAATACCTCTATCTATGTGTAATACCTCTTGCTATGTCTTATACCTCTTGCCATGTGTAATACCTCTGTCATGTGTAAAACCTCTATGTATGTGCAATACCTCTGTCATGTGAAATACCTCTTGTAACGTGTAATACCTCTATCTATGCTTAATACCTCTCATCACATGTAATACCTTTTGTCATGTGTAATACCTCTATCTATGTGTAATACCTCTGCCATGTGTAAAACCTCTATCTATGTGCGATACCGCTTACCATGTGTAATACCTCTTGCAAGTGTAATACCTCTTACCATGTGTAATACCTCTTACCATGTTAAACACCTCTGTCATGTGTAATACCTCGTATCATGTGTAATACCTCTTGCAATGTGTAATACCTCTTGCCATGTGTAATACCTCTTACCATGTGAAATACCTCTTGTAACGTGTAATACCTCTATCTATGCGTAATACCTCTCAGCACTTGTAATACCTTTTGTCATGTGTAATACCTCTATCTATGCGTAATACCTCTCAGCACATGTAATACCTGTTGTCATGTGTAATACCTCTGTCATGTGTTATTCCTCTTAGCACATGTAATACCTCTTGTCATGTGTAATACCTCTGTCATGTGTAATTCCTCTTGCCATATCATGTGTTTGTTATTTACTTACACGCCTCTGGACACATTCGTCTATGCCTTCTTGTCCCTGCCACATCTTCAGGAGGAGCTGTGTGTTGCTGCTGGCTTGTGGCATTTGCTCTAACTGAGGAACACTGGCATTGAAGACATCCTCTTTAACATTGTCTTCCTGTAACAGATCACTCTGAAATTGTACAAAGTTTATATTATGACATAAAATTGTCCAAAAAGATCTCTATTCATCAATGTATCAATATCAGTATCTGATATAATGCTGCCAGTGAAGGGCCAGTAACACTGCAGCACCAGTCTGGCCAGGTGACATTCTTCAGCTGAAGGGCCAGTTACAATGCAGCAGCAGTCTGGCTAGGTGACACGCTTCAGCTGCAGGACCAGTAACACTACAGCAGCAGTCTGGCTAAGTGACACGCTTCAGCTGCAGGTCCAGTAACACTACAGAAGCAGTCTGGCCAGTAGACACGCTTCACCTGAAGGGCCAGTTACAATGCAGCAGCAGTCTGGCTAGGTGACATGCTTGAGCTGAAGGGCCAGTAACACTACAGCAGCAGTCCTGCTAAGTGACATGCTTGAACTGAAGGGCCAGTAACACTACAGCAGCAGTCTGGCTAAGTGACACGCTTCACCTGAAGGGCCAGTTACAATGTAGCAGCAGTCTGGCTAGGTGACATGCTTGAGCTGAAGGGCCAGTAACACTACAGCAGCAGTCTGGCTAGGTGACATGCTTCAGCTGAAGGGCCAGTAACACTACAGCAGCAGTCTGGGTCTGGCTAAGTGACACGCTTCAGGTGAAGGGTCAGTAACACTACAGCAGCAGTCTGGCTAATTGACACGCTTCACCTGAGAGGCCAGTTACACTGCAGCAGCAGTCTGGCTAGGTGACATGCTTGAGCTGAAGGGCCAGTAACACTACAGCAGCAGTCTGGCTAAGTGACACGCTTCAGCTGCAGGTCCAGTAACACTACAGAAGCAGTCTGGCCAGTAGACACGCTTCACCTGAAGGGCCAGTTACAATGCAGCAGCAGTCTGGCTAGGTGACATGCTTGAGCTGAAGGGCCAGTAACACTACAGCAGCAGTCCTGCTAAGTGACATGCTTGAGCTGAAGGGCCAGTAACACTACAGCAGCAGTCTGGCTAAGTGACACGCTTCACCTGAAGGGCCAGTTACAATGCAGCAGCAGTCTGGCTAGGTGACATGCTTGAGCTGAAGGGCCAGTAACACTACAGCAGCATCAGTTGAAGCAGTTGAAGCATGTCACTTAGCCAGACTGCTGCTGTAGTGTTACTGGCCCTAGCTGAAGGGCCAGTAACATGACAGCAGCAGTCTGGGTCTGGCTAAGTTACACGCCTCAGCTGAAGGGTCAGTAACACTACAGCAGCAGTCTGGCTAATTGACACGCTTCAGCTGAAGGGCCAGTAACACTACAGCAGCAGTCTGGCCAGGTGACACGCTTCAGCTGAAGGGCCAGTAACACTACAGCAGCAGTCTGGCTAAGTGACATGCTTCAGGTGAAGGGTCAGTAACACTACAGCAGCAGTCTGGCTAGGTGACCCGCTTAAGCTGAAGGGCCAGTAACACTACAGCAGCAGTCTGGCTAAGTGACATGCTTCAGCTGAAGGGCCAGTAACACTACAGCAGCAGTCTGGCTAGGTGACCCGCTTCAGCTGAAGGGCCAGTAACACTACAGCAGCAGTCTGGCTAGGTGACACGCTTCAGCTGCAGGGCCAGTAACACTACAGCAGCAGTCTGGCTAAGTGACATGCTTGAGCTGAAGGGCCAGTTACACTACAGCAGCAGTCTGGCTAGGTGACATGCTTGAGCTGAAGGGCCAGTAACACTACTGCAGCATCAGTTGAAGCATGTCACTTAGCCAGACTGCTGCTGTAGTGTTACTGACCCTAGGTGAAGGGCCAGTAACATGACAGCAGCAGTCTGGGTCTGGCTAAGTGACACGCTTCAGCTGAAGGGTCAGTAACACTACAGCAGCAGTCTGGCTAATTGACACGCTTCACCTGAAGGGCCAGTAACACTACAGCAGCAGTCTGGCTAGGTGACATGCTTCAGCTGAAGGGCCAGTAACACTACAGCAGCAGTCTGGCCAGGTGACACGCTTCAGCTGAAGGGCCAGTAACACTACAGCAGCAGTCTGGCTAAGTGACATGCTTCAGGTGAAGGGTCAGTAACACTACAGCAGCAGTCTGGCTAGGTGACCCGCTTCAGCTGGAGGGCCAGTAACACTACAGCAGCAGTCTGGCTAAGTGACATGCTTCAACTGAAGGGACAGTAACACTACAGCAGCAGTCTGGCTAGGTGCCCAGCTTCAGCTGAAGGGCCAGTAACACTACAGCAGCAGTCTGGCTAGGTGACCTGCTTCTGCTGAAGGGCCAGTAACACTACAGCAGCAGTCTGGCTAAGTGACATGCTTCAACTGAAGGGCCAGTAACACTACAGCAGCAGTCTGGCTAGGTGACACGCTTCAGCTGCAGGGCCAGTAACACTACAGCAGCAGTCTGGCTAAGTGACATGCTTGAGCTGAAGGGCCAGTAACACTACAGCAGCAGTCTGGCTAAGTGACACGCTTTACCTGAAGGGCCAGTTACAATGCAGCAGCAGTCTGGATAGGTCACATGCTTGAGCTGAAGGGCCAGTAACACTACAGCAGCAGCCTGGCTTAGTGACATGCTTGAGCTGAAGGGCCAGTAACACTACAGCAGCAGTTTGGCTAAGTGACACGCTTCACCTGAAGGGCCAGTTACACTACAGCAGCAGTCTGGCTAGGTGACATGCTTGAGCTGAAGGGCCAGTAACACTACTGCAGCATCAGTTGAAGCAGTTGAAGCATGTCACTTAGCCAGACTGCCGCTGTAGTGTTACTGGCCCTAGCTGAAGGGCCAGTAACATGACAGCAGCAGTCTGGGTCTGGCTAAGTGACACGCTTCAGCTGAAGGGTCAGTAACACTACAGCAGCAGTCTGGCTAGGTGACATGCTTCAGCTGAAGGGCCAGTTACACTACAGCAGCAGTCTGGCCAGGTGACACGCTTCAGCTGAAGGGCCAGTAACACTACAGCAGCAGTCTTGCTAAGTGACACGCTTCAGGTGAAGGGTCAGTAACACTACAGCAGCAGTCTGGCTAGGTGACCCGCTTCAGCTGAAGGGCCAGTAACACTACAGCAGCAGTCTGGCTAAGTGACACGCTTCAACTGAAGGGCCAGTAACATGACAGCAGCAGTCTGGCTAGGTGACACGCTTCAGCTGCAGGGCCAGTAACACTACAGCAGCAGTCTGGCTAAGTGACACGCTTCAGCTGCAGGGCCAGTAACACTACAGAAGCAGTCTGGCTACGTGACAAGCTTCAACTGAAGGGCCAGTAACACTACAGCAGCAGTCTGGCGAGGTGGCACACTTCAGCTGCAGGGCCAGTAACACTACAGAAGCAGTCTGGCTAAGTGACACGCTTCAGCTGCAGGGCCAGTAACACTACAGCAGCAGTCTGGCTAAGTGACACGCTTCAGCTGCAGGGCCAGTAACACTACAGCAGGAGTCTAGCTTGGTGACATGTTTCAACTGAAGGGATAGTGACACTACAGCAGCAGTCTGGCTGGGAGACACGCTTCAGCTTAATGCATCTGAATCCCAAGGATCGGTGGAGGGAATACCTTCAGAAGTGATCGTCAATAAAAATCCTCAGTCAATCAGTGAAATCGAAGTCTGGCATCAAGCGACCATTCCTGTTGACAGGGAGGGAGGAAATTAGGTATGTGTGAAATCCAGTAACACTACAGTCATAGAAGACAAATGACATTAATCACATTAAAATCTAAAACTGACATACCGAGCCTGATGCTTGTAGCATGTACCCTTCTAGTCAGAGGTGACACGCACCGGCGAGGTCGCGAGGGCGGGATATGTGGAGGTGTCACTGGCGCATAGTAGCAGTGATCTTTTGGACCACCACTAAAGGGCCAAAGCTGTGTATGGCTTCCACATCTTCTGACGTGACATCTCGCAGAAAGGGACTGCTGAAGATGTTGTCTGAACACTAGAAACAGCCTTCCATAATGGTGCATTTGGAGCAGATGCTGTCGAGCGCCATGGTGGCAGTGACTGCCTGGATTTGGTGCGGGTTGCTGTCACTTGGAGGATCCAGTCCCGTGGCCTCGTATGCCTGGAGGATGATTGCTTGAATCCAGAGGGTGATGGTGTTGCGGCTGTCTTACAGCTGCAATGTCGTTAATACTGGTATGAAGTGAGTGAGTTTGGTTTAGCGTCACTTTTAGCAACATTCTAGCAATATCACAGCAGGGGACACCAGAAATGGGCTTCACACACTGTACCCATGTCGGGAATAGAACCCAGGTGTTTGGCGATCAATATGAAGAGATGGCGTTGTCTACACCGATCTTTGGAGCAACAAATGAAACACCGCAGAGCTCTCATAGGACACAGTAGAAGTTCCTGCTTGTCTTTAGCTCCCACTATCGAGGAGAGGGGTGGGATGAGGAAAGATCTGTTGGGCTGTCATGGGAGCTGGTTCTTGGAAATAAAGTCTGAGCACAGTCCAAGGTGAACCCCTCCTTGCACTCCTTGCTCAAACCTGACACCCGTAACATCTAGTGCGCATATCTCGCTTACACATGTCACTGTAGTGAGAGCCAGGAGGAAGATCGTCTTCTAAGCCAGGTTGTAGAACGACATCTAGTGGTTCAAAGGGCACTCCTCTCAGTAGGGTGAGGACTAAACTTTATCTTCAAGTCAGAAGGAGTGAAGTAAGGTTTGGAGTTCTGGGATGTTTGTCTTCTGGGACTGCCAAAACAGAATTGAGGGCTTCAAGGTACGTCGTGATAGTCCTTTCCTTCAGACGATGCTTGTGATGCAGGAAAAGGAGGAACTCCGCCAGAATTTGAGAAGGTGCAGGGATGGGGTCCTGGTGATTTTCCTTACTAAAGCCTTCAAAGGAGCAACTTGTCATCGTATAGACTTCTGGTAGACGGTCGATGTGCAAATGTGATAGCTCTCGTCACCCTAGCCGAGTAGCCCTTGGCACTTAAGGATCTTTGTAGATGGACCAGACGTGCAGTTGTAACCTTTCTGGTCCAGGGTGTGGTCGTTTGGTGTGTGGGTGAATCAGTAAATTCGGCAAGTCTGGCAGCTGAAGAGGGTTGGT